CTCGGCTGTCTGCAGGTGGGCTGTCTCGGCTGTCTGCAGGTGAGCTGTCTTGGCTGTCTCGGCTGTCTGCAGGTGAGCTGTCTCGGCTGGCTGGAGGTGAGCTGAAGATGCATTGGTAGATGGGTGGCAGAAATATGCAGGAATTCCTCTGTGACTGCTTCCATCTTTCAGTGAAATAGAAGTAAGGTCAAAGACTGGGAGTTGGAGGAAAAAGAGGGTAAATGTTTGAGGGGTGAGCAGATGGACGAGGATGAGGACAGTGATAAGGCTGAGGCTGATGATAACGAGGATGAAGATGGATGAAAGACTGAAGATTATGTGATGTGATCTTTCAACAAAATAAATCCATGTCAGTGGCCAGTTTTAATTGGACAACCAGTTAATGGAAGACGAAATTAAGGATGTAACAGTTTGTATATGTATTTTTGGCCACTCATTATCCTGACATCCTCATGTTTTGGGGGAATCTCAAGATTGGTTGGAAGGGCACATCAGCAGAAAGGGGGCAGACCCTCTCTTTCCTCTCTTCCTGATCACTAGGGTGTGGGTACCTGTGATCCCAGGGTGATCAAGTGGCAGTGATGTGGTAACAGATGCTCCCGCCCGGGACTACAGAATTTGAGGCTGCACAGAGACCCCAGGGATCATCTGAAGTAGCTACAGAGGAGTGGAGAGCCCAGAGGTGGCGCCCTGGGCTAAGCCTTGCCTCCTCTGCTTCCCACCTGTGTTTGTTCCCCAGACTTCTTGCCTATGCTCTGAACCACCCCACATCCTTTTAATAAATTCCTTTTCTGCTTAAATTAGCCAGCATATGTTTTTGTTGTTTGTGACCATTAATACAGTTAATACACCATGCAAAAGAAGAGAACTATTCGAAATCTCAGTAGGCCAAAATACTTTGAAATACTAATTTCTGGGGGGTGGAATCATCATTACTCATCCGTGAAGAGAGGACCTCACTCTCCTGCATGTCTGGCACATCAACAATAACGTGCAACGAGAAATATGATGGCCTTGCTTTGGAAGCAAGGGCTCTGAGGATGCAAACAAGATGTGAAAAATCAACTTAAGAGTTGCAAATTCTTGAATGGCCTCCAATAAATTAAGGCCCTGATCTCAAGCTATTGTGGCAATTATTTATTATTGTTGGCCATTTTAATCTTAAACAGTTGATAGGCTATTTCTGTCCTTTTGTTTGCTTTTGTAAGATTAAAAGAATAAACCTCAGGCTTGAGTTATGAGAGCGTGCTAACCTAGCTTTATCTTGAGAAGGAACTGGCCGGGCATTCACAACTAGCCCTGACATCAGACAGTGTCCAGGGTTTCCGTGGAATATTAGGCAGACAGACAGTGTAGACGAGCCCAGGACCACGGGGGAGAGACTGCCTCTTCATTCCAGTTTAGCTGTTCATGTGATCAGCCTCCTGTCCCTGTATGTAAAGGGTAAGGGGTCAGGCCAGGGACATCTAAACTTCTGCCAGTCCCCAAACCTTGGGCCTCTGTCGCTTAATCTCACAGCAAAGTCATTCCTGGGATTTCAAAGTCAAGTGATTCAAACTAGCTCCGTGATTAAGGGAAGCCAGGCAACTTTCACGGCAGAATGTGCACTCAGATTGTTTTTAGGGGAGCCTCAAAGCTGGGGTTTCATTCTTTCTCCAAAGCTTAAAAAAACAAACAAACAAAAAAAAAACTTTGACTAAAACAGTACATCTCTGCTTCCAAAGTTATTTTTAGAAATGAAATGAAAATGTGATTTACCAGCATGATTTTGGGTGCTGTCAAATATGTCATCCTTCTGAAGCCTCACAACACTGTGAAAGGGTCTTGATATCAGGCCCGTATTAGAGATAGGAGGAAACTGAGATGCAGAAAGAGAAGGTGCTGTGCTGGTGCAAGAACGCAGCATCTCCTATGCCTTCAAAGCTCATTCCTCTCCACCATAACCCACATTCTCCAGCCCCCTGACTAACATGTCCCCAGGGGGTCATTCCTGATCTCCCTGCCTGGGTGAAATAAATCCTCCCATTATGAGCACCCTCCACCCCCATGTGCTCCATCAACCCTTCATGGTACTTATTGAACTTGTGATTATGCTTTTGTTTGTGGGGCTATTTGGTTAAGGACTGTCTATCCACCACTAGAATCTAAACAACAAGGGCAGGGACCCTTCTCTGGCTTTGCTTATCATTGAACTCCTAGTGACAGAGTTGTGCCTGGCACAAAATTTCTCAGGGAATAAAATTCCTTGAAGATCAGAAAGGCTGTTCTTCAACAAGTAAGCACCGTGGAACATTCAGCATAAAAACCCTGTGCCTGATTGTTTTCATTTTTCAGCAGGACTGTCAGAGAGAGTGGTCCCTCCTAGCAGATGTTCAATGAACACTTGTTGAAAGAACATCCATGACATCTCCATGACAGACCATCAGCTCCCCCTTCACATTTTACAGATGAAGAAGCTGAGCCCCAGAGAGGGGAGCCCACCCAACTGAGGTCACCCAGCTATGCAGGATCTGACCTGCAACTAGCAGCACACCTGCTTTGGTATGAAGGCTGGCCCAGACACGGTTCTAACATCAATTAAATCTCAGTTAGGGAGGGCTTTGGCAAGAGAGTTTACTAACATCTGA